GGGGGGGGGGGGGGAGGGGGTGGTGAAAGCAAAGTTAAGTCGATCATCCATCTCATCCGAAAGGTTACCTCTAGGTACTTTCTTTTCAACATATTCTTTTCTTTTTCTTCCCTGTTTTTTTTTCTTTTTCTTTTTCTTACCCCATACTTCCTACCCCAACTACCTTACCTTGTTTATTGCTGATCAACACACACCACCACCATCATCCCGCACGACCATCTCATACCAAGAACAGGCAGTCTACTAATGTAGTGTAGTCTACCTAGGTAAAGTGGCATTCAATATACAACCATCTGACACCCAACAGCCCGGCATTGATGATGAACCATGGGACCAATACATAACTAATGGCCCCCCCTCACCCCCACGCTAAGTACGGCAGTCTTGTGAGAAATGTCGTAACCTCCAGATTTGATTGTTTGGCTTGGAACTTGTAAGGAAGGTTAGCTTGGTGTGGTGCAGTACATTACACACTTGGATACTCTCTCTATGTCTCTGTACAGTATAGAGAAGGGAGGCAGATAACGTTGACGGCACATTATTATTATATTTTCTTGAGATTTTATTTTTCCGATCCGGTATTAGGTAGGTGTGTTGGAAACATCATCAGGGCCGGAAATGAGGTCAGCCACCTATGTATGGTGTTTCGGTAGCCGCTGGCTCATCCATCCATCTATCCATCCATCTCGAGTATGTGAAGAGTGTGTGTGTACATATGTGCGCAGCAGTGATCAGCCGGAGAATGTTTACGACCTGATGCAACCCCCATGAATATGTTAGGATACGAGTGACCAAAGGTAAAAGTGACCCGGGTGACCCGGGTGACCCGACGAGGCGTCCCATTTTCAGCTGCGCGCGGTTTTTTTTTTTTTTTTCTTATCAATAGTTTAATTTCGGAAGTCCTTGGAATTGCCTTGAGTAGGAATGTGTACCCGAGAAGCAGTTGAGGTTTGCTAATACCTAGATATTGCGCCATCGATGGCTTTTTCGATGGAATGTACGCTAGGCTTTTCAGTGACTGGCTCCAGGAACTGAAGGGACTAAACTTGACTTGGTAAGTTGGATGAATGGATCTTAACAGGAGTTTTCACAGTGGCTTTCTGAATCATACTATACTGTGAGCGCAAGCACTGCGCGCGGAAACGTCCCGCGTCTCTTGAAGCTGACGACGGCGACGGCGAGGCCGGGAACGACGCCAATGACCACGGCAGAACGACAAAAAAAAAAAAAAAAAAAAAAAAAAACCCGGGCAACAAAAAAAAAAAAAAAAAAAGAACAACCCAGCAAAATTCGTGCCATACTTTGATCGGTTATCCCCGTGGGGATTTGTGCGAGATGTGGCACGGTGAGTGAGAGAGGGTGAGGCGCAGCTTTCGCGACAGTACGTAAAGCTGTGGTTCTCGTTTGTGGTTCGTAGTCCTTGGGCCCTCCTTGGCATGACGACCTCCAAACGTGGAAAATGGTGACAATGCCGAGGACTAGTAATACGGGGGTCCCGAATGAGAACACCACCATCTCTGCCTTCAGCACTTTCTAGGAAATAGTGTCCTCGTTTTCTGAAACTAGGCACTAAGGCCGATTTCGGAGTGAGTATCATCAAGCTCACTGGCCTTACCTCGCAGTAACAATATCTCCTTGGCGGCTGTGCAAAGAGAACCGGAGCAAACCGGGAGGTCATTGTATGTGACTCACAGGTCAGTAACGAACTGTTACAAAGGAGCAATGGATGTATACGTAACTGTGTATCACGTCAGCTTTCGTTGACATTCCGTTTCTCTTGTGTGGCTGGGCTGGATTGTTCTCTTTTACGAGCCATTCGTCCGCCGACAACATTCACCCCTTGTTTGATCAGCGATCGGGGTGTCCAATCGTAGTGTTTATCTGATCTTGGCTCTCAAGACTGCGGGGTGGGGAGAGAGATGAAAGTCCGGGGCACGACCTGGGGTAGAATGGGTGATAAGCAACGAAATGGGGCCTAGACAACGCCGCCGCGCAAAGCACAAATAAAGGGCGGAGAAGAGGACTTGTTGGTTACGTTTGTTGGCCAGCATTGAGCAGCTATTGTGATATCATATCGTAGCAAGGAGGTTGTATCGACAATTCTGTTCTATGATGAGGAACGTTCACACGGAAGAGTGTAAAGGAGGGCATTCGATGTCCAAAAAAGCCAGGGGTCTGTAGACCAATCCTTTGCCGTGTTTCCACTTGTGCATCGTCCCCTCTCTGTGTTGAAAGAAGCTCTCGGCATGCGCCGCATCGCACAATAAAGTCGCATCAGCAGATCTTGAAAAGGGGACATACGATTCTCTGTGTAGCGCCCAGCAGCCGCAACTCGTCGGTTGGTTTTCGGACTGTGACTGAGGCAGCCGTTGTTTGGGTGATGGTTGGGTAACGAGTTCTGGAGAGTGGTCGGGAGAAACGGCGAACGCAACGAATGGAATCGACGAGTGTCTGCCCAGGAATGGACTAAGATACGTACGATACGTGCAATGGTAGTGACGTCGGTGATGCAATCGATGTCCCCAGGGTCTACAGCGCATCCGGGCCAGATGAGGTCGATCACGAAGTGACGAGAAAAGTTCAAAGTTACAAAAAGACCTGTCCACGTATCGGGCGTCAACGGGGTCTGACAATGGAACGAAGCGTGAAACGTAACTCTGGGGAAGCTCGCTTGGCAATCCGTTTGTTACGCGGATGAGAACATTTTTGATGCTGAACACAGAAAGGATTGACGCTCTCGATGCTCGACCATGGTAGACCGTTAACTTCAGAGCCAACAGGCAAATCTTGCCAGAATGGAAGACATCATACTATGCATGCTGTCCCTGACATCGGCACAGTGGCGGAGGTTGAAATCAGAAGTTATTTCGGAATGTTGATTTCTGACGAGCTGGTTTCCATTTGTGGTTCAGTTGCGATGGAGCGAGGTTCCTGCCAATTGTGACAGCGATGCTCCACTGCAGAGACGAGAGACCAACCCCACGCCCCACGGGGTGTCTTAAATTCAGCGCAAATTGTAGACTGGGGAAGGTGTAACCCCATCTCGGCAAGCAAGGGATGGAGTTTCAGGCGGATCTTGACAACATCGATACTGGACTGGGCTGGACTGGAGCGGGAGCGAACGGACGTTGGACCACGGATGCGCACCCGTCTTTCCACCCCATCATAGTCTCCAGCTTTGTTGGTCCAGTTTGCAATCAACCGACGGAGCGTCTATTAGGCAAAAAGGTATCTCTCCCAAGGCACTTCCTCCGTTGCCTCGTTGCTTGGCTTTCACGGTTGCAACTCCTTCACGTTGCCTCCGATTCTTGGCTTCCATTGCACTTCCCCAGCAGTTCGGTCAGCAACTCCACCAATACAACAACAACAACAAAAAGGCGAAAAGGCGCAGCCGTAGCCTCGTATCTCCAACTCTATTCGATTATCGTTCTTCCGTGCTAACTCAAAGTCCAATAGTCACCGGAGCGAGCTCGGACAAGGCATCGGCCACACCTCGGTGGAACTCGCGTCCAAATTGCTGGACGACCAGAGATAACCTCAGCATACATACCGTCGTGAGCAAGATAACGCAGTCGATTATGCTCGAAGGGCCCCATAACCACCTGTCACCCTTGTATCTCTTGCTTCCTGGATCGCCGGACCTGTTGATCCTGCTTCCCCGGTGTAGTCTTGCGGCGCCCGTGGACCCTGGGTTATACGCGTCCATAAAGAGAGGGTGATCAGTCACCCTCATCCACCGGCACCATCCTGTCGCCAATTTATCTTGGTTGAAACCCCCGAAAATGTGATCGGTATAAAGGCTTGCATTTACTATGGGAGAATCCCCCTTTCAGACACTTCCACGCGCTACCAACGACACTGACTGATCAACAGACACCTCGAACCACACAAGCAATCAAGCG